GGATTTCTCAGTTTGTGCTGGAATTCACAATCGCTGCTGCTGGAGGTGCCAGCTCGGGGAGTTCAACGGGGGAACCTTCTCCTGGTGCAGCTGAGTCAGGCTCCCAGCACTGGTGGTGGTGGTGATGCCCTGCAGTGTGGGCACAGGTGTGGCCCTGCACGTAGCTGTGTTCAATCACCTGGTGAGCTGTGTTTCTCCCTCACCATCAGATAGGAATTGCATAGCACAGCTGCAATGGGAGTCAGTGGGTCCTAGGCTATAGAGCTGAGCAAAGGTGTGGGGAGTGAGTGAACTGGGATGCTGGTTGCTCTGCTTTCCCTCCCTGCCTTGATTTCTCCATCTTTCTCTTTTGGGACTCTTGACCAACAATCACGTGCTATTCACTGCTTATTTTTTTATTGCCAGTTAGGAGAAGGCTTCCCATCTTGCTGAAATTGTGAGGCATCTCTGTGTACGTTCCCCAAAAGCAGGTAGGTTGTTGTCCCCTCACCATCCAGTCCCAGCTGCAGTCATGTCTTCCTGCTCCGCTCTGTCATTGGAGACAGAATCTCAACATGTATTTTGGTACTGGTAGCAAGCACCTCCTTCCATCTGCTCTTTGGGAAAGGGGGTAGGATCATGCGGGGTACAGGGGTGTAAAGGGAAACAGCAGTGCCCAGCTCAGGAAGGACTTTGGTGACTGGGGGAGGCAGGTGACAGTGCAAAAGTGACGAGGTCAGTCAGTAAAGGGATGCTCTGTGAGGTGGGAAGATGAGGAGGAATAGGCTGTGTCAAGAGTGGGGTGGGGCAGGCCTGAGATCATCTGGCAGCGCCAGGCACAGGGAACCCTCCCAGTTATGAAACCTCCTGAAACCTCCATGGACACATCTCCCCTGGTGTGAATGGATTTGAGTGTTGGAAAACTCACACGTAGGGTTTGCAGGAGTGCCAGAGCTTCACCAGCACCTAGGGAGCAGCTCTTCGGCCTCCCCGTGCCACAGAGAGCTCTGCTGCAGAACAGGTAGCCGTGAGATGTCGCATGGCTGCCTCCATGGCTATTGGCTCCATGGAGCCACCCCTGTGTGGGGTGACCATGCAGACAAAGAGGCTAAAGTCCAGAGTGGCCAACACTGAGACTCTTGTGCTGCTTACACCAGCACAAAAGCCATGCAGTGTGCAAGGCTACCTGCTTCTAGTCAAACCAAAAAGCTTTCAATCCTTCATACTCATGAAAAAATCAAATCCAGCTTGACCCCAATGTACTCCAGACTCTCAGAAGGCAAACATCACCAGGTTGCATTAGTTTTCCAGCACTGTGGGGTTCAGCTGGGCAGGTGATTTGCCAGCAATGACTTTCCTTCTTGGCCTAAATCCTGCCAGTGTGTCCCCTTGGGCACCCTTCAGGCTCTGCTCTCCAGGCTCTCACCATATCCCTTTACACCCAGGTTCCACCCTATTTTTAATCCCCACCCCATCTTCTGGTGGTGTCAATCTCAGAGTTTTGCTAAGCTTGGAAGAGGGCTGTATATACGTCCTTGTCTTGTTGTGGGTAGTTTTTATAGTTTCTCTCCCAGTTTTAAGTCACTGGAGCCCTTTTTGCCTTCTGGGTTGTAGATTCACACAAACCCAGGCATCCAATCAGAGGTATCCACAGCAACTGCTAAATATTTTTTTCCAGAGGGGACCTTCAAGACCTGTTGGTGAGGAGGTGAAGTTTTGGCTGTTCTGTGCCAGGGTACGTCACCTTGCACCTATCCAGGCGCCCATTCAGAGGGCTGGTGAGCTGATTCACTCCAAAGTATCTTTACATCCCCTTCAGCCTCTTCAGACATCCACGCACCATGAGCCAAACCCATTAGCTCCTCATTCTCGGTGTCCTGGGATCATTCAGCAGCAAGCAGAGCACTGGCACCCTGCGGCTTCCTCACTGGAGGCTCTGCTCCAAGCAGCCAGTTTTCACTTTTTCTTTAATCACATCACCAAGTTTTAATGCCCAGCAAGAACTTTGACCCTTATCCAGGGATTAGTTGTTATCCTTAAGAGCTTTCTGCGGAGAGCCTTATAAAAGAACTCCATGCTTGGAGAATGCGGGCAAATCACGTCCACTGGGTTAATTTTCTTTATTAGCCAACTACCTCTTTTTTCCATCCATAGCCCTCAGATATTGTCTCCTCGCTCCGGGAGAAGGGCTGTTCCCATCAGTTCACAGGAAGTTCACTGCTGGGATCCTCGTTACCACCAAGCCACCCTCAGCAAGAAGGGGAAATCTTGGCTTTGGTGAAATTAAGGGAAAAACTATGTTCCCTCCTAGGGCCTGTTCGCATCCCACTCCAGCAAAACTAGGCAGTGATGGAAAGTTGCTAGACAGACCCTGTGAAAAGGAAGAATGTTTTAAATGGGGGGTGTAGAGGCATCTGGGGTTATCCAGAGGTAGCAAAATCCATTCAGCTGTTTAGCAAGTTGTTCTCATGAAAAGGCATGTGTGCATCTGTCTGTCTGTCCTCATGTCTCTATCACAGCCTGTTTCAAGCATAATCCTGTTTACTGAGCAGGATTCCAGTAAGGCATAAAGGGAGATTTTTGTTCTGGTCGTTGACTTATTTTTCATGTGTGTGCAAGGTACTCGGGTACGGGAAAACCAGGAGCACAGTGTGTTTTGCTGTGAGTAATTAGAAGCAGGATTCACAGGTATCACAGGATTCTGGCTGCTTTTAGCCTTTCCCGTGACAGAAAGCAGCTGCACACCCAGCATTAGCCAATCTGCTAATAGGCTGTGTCACAAGACACAGCATCACCATGTCTCACAAAGCAACTGCATTGTCCTCTCTAAGCTTATTGTGTGAAGTATCACGGGAACACCACCAAATCGTGTCCTGCAGACCGTTCCAGACTAAACATCCATGGCCTGGCTCCCTGACCCGAGCTGGGGTCCCTGAGGGAGGAGAGGAGGCACCTCGCTTTTCCTGTGCTGGGAGCACAAGAGGTCTGTGCGCTTGCCCAGCATCTCCACGCAGACCTGCCCGTGTGCAGGGACTCCGATGCATCCAGAGCCTCCTTATTTTCTTGTTCAGACGACAAGAACATGGAACATGTTAGTGGCAAAACTCATGCTGTGGGTACCTCTGAACCAGGCCCTTTGCTCTCCCAGTCCAAGTGGTCAGGCAGAGTGTGCCCTGCACAAAACAGCAGTGGATCCTTTGAGTCTGAGGTGTTAGCTAGCGCTGGATAACTGGTCTCTAACTTGCTGAGAGTGAGATGGTGCAGGTAAAGATGGAAGGCAGTGTAATGACAGGAAACCTGCGTGGAGGCTACTACAGAGAATGGAGGGAGTTTTAGATAGCATGTTTTAGACAACAGGAACCAAAGCCTCAGCCTCTACAGAAGATTTTTTGCCAAACTCTGTGCTTTGGCGTGGTGTGAAAGAAACTAGCTAAAAGTTACAGGTTTGTGTGCAGTATGTACTGCAGATCCTGTACCTTGGTGCTGTGCCAGAGCCAGGAATCCTGGCTTGTCTTCACAGCCCTGTGAAGAGCGGTGACAATCACTGCTCTGATCTGTGCCTCAGTTTCCCAATCTGTTAGTGGTGATAACAGTACAGCAGTGATAACAGTGCAGTGGTGGTAACAGGACTGAGCTACCCTGGGGGATGATCTGTGAGTGAATTCATGTCGAGGCGTTAAAGCAGAATTAATTGGTAGCCTCTGTCGAGCGCTCAGAGATTCCACGATAGCAAGCAGCGAGTGGCGAGCCAAAGTTCCGTGTGCAGTGCAAAGCCCTCTGTGTGGCTCCAGAGGAAAGTCACACTTTGATTAAGACAAGTGCTCAGCAGTCACGTAATGTTTCCAGGTGTGCAGCAGTCCGTGTGGGCAGGGTGGAGTAGCTTCCCAGCTGCAAATGTCTTCAAGCAATATGTAAAGAGAGAAGCCAGGGCTAATGTTCTCTAGGAGACCCCCACATGTTGCATGTGATGACAGAGAAAAGGGAAAAAAACTCAAAGAAACAGAACAAAGTGGCTTGTTGCATGTAACATTTTAGTGCTGAAGTGTTCTAGCCATAAACTGGTAAGAGCTATGGAGCGTGGCTCTGGAGAGAAACCTAGAGAGTGCAAATCATCACACAAAGTCTGCAGGGAGGGTAAGATCAAGGACTGGAAGGAAGTGCCTGGAGTGAGGGGCAGGAGCAAAGAAGGGTGCAAGGGGAGGAAGGAGCACATGTAGGTCTGAGTGAGGCCTCAGAAGACCAGAACTGTTCATGGACAGGGGATGGTGCCTCCAGCATAGCAGAGTGCAGGTGATGGGAAGAAAGAGGATGCTCAGTGCTGGCAAGTCTGTTCTGCCCCTGTTTGCGCAAGATTTGCTGTGTGCTGTGCAGGTCACCCTGAGGAGCTGGGATCCCCCAGTCCATGGTGGCTGTGCTGTGCCTCAGATCGGGATGCTCTGCTTGTAACCCCCTCTTCTGCACATAGCAGGTCCCTGAGGCAGCCAGGCACCCACCTCGCCCCCCATCCCCATGGCTTCTGCCACCAAAGATGGAGCCTCTCTCCCCTGAGACCGAAGCAATGTGGCAATGCTCTCAGACCTTGGCTTGTAGCAGCAGTAACCTCCGAGCTGCTGACTGTTGCTCAGCAATAAACACCACTTGTGCTATTAATAAACACTATCTGTCAGCCTTGGTATTTTTAATGCTGGGACACTGTGCCCTGGCATGTGGAGCCACTCGGAGACTGAAGGCCGGATTCAGAGACGAGTCTAAACTGGCGTAAGGCACTACATTGAGCAGCCCTGCAGCTTGCGCCTGTCACAAGGTGGAAGGTCTCTGCTCTCCTTGGTGCATTAGGCAGGATCCAAGTTCCTCCCCACAAGGAATTTCCTCTTCCACTCATTGCAATTCCAAGGTACTGAGACTCAGAGACAGCCTGTACCTGCTCTCATAGCCTGCCATAGACCTAACAGGATCTCTGGACCTGTGTAAGTCAGTGAAAATACTTCAGCTTTATCTCCATGATGTGCCAGTTCATTTAGCTGAATCAGCAAGGGACTGCTACCTACTTACACAGTGTCTTTGGACTCACAGTCCTGGTATAGGAGGTTTCAAGCTCCTCTGTGCACAGAGGTCATCAAGAAGTCCTGGTGGGATCAATGGCCCTGAGCAGGGTGCCTATGTTCTGCCCACCATGTGTCACTCCTCTTCCTGCAGCCTGGAAGAAAAATAGGAAGGGAAAGGAAAAAGAAGCGTGTATGGGTGCCAGTCATGCTGTAGTGAAGCTCCCATCTGCTTCCACCTGGCTGTGGTGCGAGCCATCCCTGCCTCGAACTGGTGTGTTCTCTGCTGGGGTTAGCCTATGCCCAGGCAGGGCCGGAGGGGGCTGGTGCCATGTCGCAAGGGCTCTGCATGGGAGAGGGTCCGAGCCAGCGGGAAGGAGCCGGCTCCACTCGCAGGCTCCAGCGCTGGCCCCGGCAGCGCAGCTCGGGTGGGAGGGGATGAGGTGGGTGCCTCCTCCTGAGCCCAGGGGCAGGGAGTGGATCCGCGGGCGCTGGGGAGCCGGGGTGGGGTGTGGGTGATGTCAGAGGGGAGCAAAGCGGCCCCGACGCTGGCGGCTGCGGGGAGCGAGGCCAGGGCAGCGCGGAGGGCTCTGGAGGGGTGGGAGGGAGGGCAGCGAGCAAACAGTGAGCTGGCCGAGCAAACAGCTGCCGGAGGGAAACAATCAGGTCCCGTTCTGGTAAAGCTCAGCAAATACTGCGTAAAACCTGCTGCTGGCAGTGGTGCTTGCCCCAGTCATCAGCTATAGCACTATCAGAGGGCAGATACAGAGCAACCTAGGGAAGCAGGTTGTGCAAGAGAAAGCTCTGGCCAGCGTGACTCAACACTCATTAGCGGTGACACACCTACGAGAAGCCCATTAAAACTGACAGGAAGAAGCTAAAGCACCTTATTTCTTCTCTTTGCTGTAAATCATCTCATTTCCCGTGTGCACATCCCGGTGTCTGCAGTGATGGCAGCAGAGGGAGAAGCGCTGTGCATCATAATCCCTGGTTCTTGGAGCTCTGCAGCATTTCTGGAAGATTAGTCCACAGCCTGAAGAGCTTCCAGCATGACTGGAACCAAGTCATTATATTGGAGTGGACATGGCCAGGGAAAGGGATGTGGGAGAACAAGGTAACAGGGAAAATTCCTTACCCCATCACTTTAATCCCTTTGGATTCCCTCTGAGCCTGGCCCTAGGCCTCCTGCTTTTGCCCCTCTCTCCTGCCCCATAGCCCCTGCCAGCCCAGCTCCAGGCTCCCAGTAGCTCTTTCATCCTGATGGGCTTGTCAGCGATGTGATCCAAAGCTCATTTTTCAACCACTGCCTTGAGCTCTGGTTTCTTCAGACCCATCCACCCTGATGTGTGCGATGTCTGGCTGAAGTAGCCCAAGGATGGTACTGTCCTTGTGTGCTGTGTACAGCCCTGCACTGGGCTGGCAGAGTCTGTAGCACAGTTGTAGAGCTGCATCTGGGGGATGCCCTCAGCTTTTAGGTTGAAAGTGTGCTCCCTGAACACCATCCACCTGCCAACTTGCCCTTGCCTGTTGGCTGGTTTCTTGGACATGACCTTGGAGAAAGCACCAAACCAGAGAGAGAGTAGATTTCTATGTGTCTTGGTATAAATACCCCAACCTAGGGGAGTGGACACATGAGCAATAGGCATGTCTGCAGCACACAGCCCCAGCACTGGTGTCCCTTGCTGGTACATTGCTGGGAAAATGGCTTAATTTTTCTGCTCCCAGGTAAGATACTGAACGTAGGTTTACTTTGAGGTGCTTAGTGTACAGCTCTAGGGCTGGCCTTGGAGTAAAACTCCCTTAAATCACTTCTCCATTAGTATTTTACAAGGAGATAGCTTAATCCAGTCATCCCCTGGGTATGTTCGCATTGCATTCCAGAGGTGGGATCGCAGCTTGGTAAACACACCCTAATGAGCTTGGGTTTTGGTCTGAGTTTTAACCTAGTTTTCTGCCTGTTATTGTGGGTACCAGTAGCAGTGTGTCACTGAGGTGTCTGCATTGCAGATGCCTCCTAGGCCAAGCTCAGCTGTGTGCTGCTGCTCATACTCTCCCATTAGTCCTGAGCTAGTTTAAAGCCGGGTCAGGGATGTCTCTCCAGGCATCCTCATGATTTTGGACTACTGTTTTGGCACATCCCTGTCAAAAATCCCACTACATCCTCCAGTCTGGAGCCACCACAAGTGCTCCCCTTCTGCTCTGCTGCTTCCAATACATGCATGAGCTCTTGGGCTTGCTGGCTGGGACCAAGGTGCACAGATCTCCTGCAATTTGGAAGAAGGGATCTCACTGGAAAGGCAGGGGCTCAGAAAGGTGTGCTGTGTGCTGTACCAGGGATGGATGGTCCCAGCTCTCTGCCATGAAGGTGGCTTTGCTGTTCTAGACAATTATCTGCCACAAAGGACACAGGACATCGTGTTCCATCCTTCGTCCCTGTACCTCTCTCTCCTGGCCTCCTGATGCCCTCAGCAAGTCTTTAGGAGGGGTCTTCTCTCTCAGGGACATGATCCTAGGCCCACTGTCTTTTGTTGGATTTAGATTAGGTTTCTTTCTGCTTTCTTTTCCCTCTGTTGACACACAGAAGAGTGATACCCCCACAGGGGAGGGTCCGGACGTGCTCCAAATGATGTCAGCTTTGATTTATTATTGTTTAATATCATGTTGCTTACTGTTGCCATTGCGTGGAGTCAGTTCAGTTTGGGAAAGGCTGCTCTTCTTTGGACAGGACAGATGGTCTGAAAATTAGTTTTTTCCCTTGCCTACCTAAATATCCCAAGCAGGCTGATCTGTCATCAGAGCTTTGCTTTGGCAACAGCTTTCCTCGGCAGAAGTGAAGGGGGAGAAGGTGGGGATAAAGAGGAGAACAAGAGGGGGATGAGTGCGCTCTACCAGAGTTGAGGTTTCTCAGTTCATCTCCTCATCTCCCCTCGGCAGAGCCTCCTTCCACTCCTGCCGGTTTCCCAGTGGTCTAATTCAGAGCTGCTTCTGGGATGGGGCCAGTGCCAGACACTGCGGGGAAGAGGGGCAGGAAATGTGGATGCAGGTAATTATGAAACAACCTGCTCAGATGTGTCATTTTGTCTTAATCCCTGTCAGTCAGGGCAGGCTTGTATCCCGCAGCAAGAGGGCTTACATCTTTTATGTTTTAATTCTATCTCATGTAGCTCTGAATGTTCTCTTTTATCCATTGAAACATCTGATCCTTTCGTGCTTCCTGCAAAGCTCTTGGCCTCCTTGATGACAATGATTTCCATCTGTGCTCTCCCTCAGATCATTTCCAGGTTCCTTTTGGTGAGCCTGTGGGTTGGTGGGGATCTGAGCTCCTGTTTTGTGAATGAGCTCAAGGCCTTGCTGGGAAGATTGCTTGAGCTCTTGCTGCCTCACAAGCTCCACAAAGCTCAGCTCCCTGTCCTGCAGTTGATAGGACTGTGACAGTGTGGGTCCTGGTCAGTGCACATGGGTCCTGGCCAGTGTAAATGGGACCTGTTGCGCTTCTTGCCAAAGTCACAATCCAAGCTGCTGGGCGGTTCAGAGCAGGGAGAAAGACTCCAGGCAGGAGGAGAGGAAGGGAAGATGCCCAGAACACACATGCTGAAGCCAGCTTCAGTTTCAGTCTTAGCAGGGACATTACCTGACACACACTTTACTCCTTGTATGCCCGCTGGGCAGACAAAGAACACTACATTTGTTGCCACTACTACTTTTAGTACACAGCTCTCAAATGCAGAGACCTATATAATCTCAAAATGTTTGCTTATTTTGTTTGGCCTGAATCCTAGAGGACATAACTGTGGGTTTCCGAATATTTAAGGCCAATGTGTTATTTATAAGCCATGTCGGAAACATCCTGAGCATGTGGATTTTTAGTGAGGAGAGTCTGGGTTTGGTATGTCCGCACACCTCGGGTTTGCCATCCTGCAGTGCTGTCTGTGGTGATTGCATTTGAGGTTAGCAATGTCTGTAGCTGTGGTAGTCTCATGACATTCTCTTCTTAATGTCTTCAAATCTACTGGCAAACAGCAATGAAATAATAAGGCGGGTAGTGAAGGACTGAGGGAGATGTTGTGTGCTTGTGGATTCCTTGCAGTGCCCCCATTTAAACTCCGAGCAGCCATCACACCCCTCCTCTCAACTCTTCTTCGTCCTTCAACAGAGCCCTTACCCTTTCCTTCCAAGATGGTGACCACCACCCTTGGCACAGCACCCCAACCTGCAGCCCCCTCCTCAGGGAGAAGCAGGAGACAGAGAATTGAGCCTCCTCCTCTGAGTACTGCTCTGTCCACCCATCGCTCATGGTGTTTAAATGGAGCTCATCTCCGTGCTGGCTGCCCATGGCATCCCTCCTCAGCAGCCATTTCTCTGGGATACACAGTCCCTGCCAGTACAACTGCCTGGCAGTTAGTTAGAGCCTGAGTGGCTCCTGGGGCCCACATTTTCCTTCTGCAGGAGCAATTAGGCTGCACTGAGGCTGTCTTCAGTAGGCTGATGTTATCTCCACCGTGACGCAGGCGAGCAGCCCTAAGCCCTTGTAATAACCATGCCAGGGTCACTCTCTCCCTGCTGCCTGTGTCCCTCTACCTGTGAGATAGGCTGAGCTCCAGGATTCTTCATGCTGTCTTTAGCCAACAGGCAAAGCCTTTCCTTTAGCAGCACCAAAGCTTGAGAAAGCCTCTGCTCTGTGACTGAAGCAAGCCCCCAAGGCTTTTCAGAGGGGAGATGCTTCCTGCAGGTCCTGCAGAAGCCACGCTTTGCTGGCATGCTAAGGTCAGGGGACCTCGGCTGGGGACTGGTTCTCCAGTGGGGAGCCTTGGCCTTCCAACCAAACCACAGAAGATCTGAGATTTTGCTGCCTGCTACTTGAGACAAGATAAAAGCTTGCGTCAGGGATGCTGGCTCCTGCTGACACCATCATACCCAGCGGGCCTGCTCTGCTGGGAGTTAATTGTGTCTAGGAGTGTTCCCAGCCACCCCGAGTCACTGCTCGGGAAGAAGCGATCTCTACCCAGGAAAGCTTTTACCTAATTAGACAAGGCAGATAGGGAAGGAGACCGAAAGAAGGAAGTGGCAAAAGGCTTGCCCAGGGCCACGTGTTGGGTGAGGTGTAGCATCAGGATGTGAAGCCAGGTCTCGTGGTGTTTGCATTATGGATACATGTCAGCTCCATGGCAGGGCTCTGGCACAGCATGGTACCGGACCTGTCCCAGGGCCAGGGACCCTCCAGCCCACCCTTCCTCTTCATCCCTGGGCTGCAGGAGGGAGCTTTCCTCTCCTGGCACGGACAACAGCTCATCAGGAAAAGCCTGTCCTAGCTGGGGGCATGGGTGGGAGAACAGGAAGGTGGGCATGGGCCAGAAAGCAGGCCTGGAGAGCAGACAAAGGCTGGTGGCACTGTCTGCGGTGGGTGCTGACACCACTGAAGCCAGGGGCAGGCAGGTGTCGCTGATGCTGGTGATAAACATGAAGCCATGGCAGTGATGTGGTGACACATTCCTGTGTACCTGCGGGTGGGTTCCCCTTGTCCAGAGAGACCACAACATCAGTCACTAAACCTGGGGAGGTTGTGGTATCTGATTCTGCATCAGTCACTGGAGGGAGAAGACCATGGGTCAGGTTCCACACAGGGCTCTAGTCCCCCTGTACTCTGTTCCTGACTAATGTAGAATTTGCCATGGGGCAAAGGGCCTGGACTGGCACAAAACCCACCCCTGGATATGTGCCTTGCCTTGAGTGTGGCTCCAAAGTAAAATTAAACCAGGCTACTTACACTTCTCTGTCTGCTGCAGGACACATTCTCGTAGGTCAGTGAGACCCCTCAGCTCTGCCCTGATCTCACACTGACCAAGGCTTTATCCCGTATCATCCAGTTTTGAGTGACAGGACATACAAATGAGACCAGTCCAGGCTGGGGCCCTTCTTGCTGAGCTATTCCATTCTGCTACCCACGATTATTTGGGGTACATCAAGATCTTTAGTTATACATCCTGGCAGAACGCTATATCTCATGGTGATTACAAGTTCTTTAAACAGAAAAAAGACAAGGTCTTGCAAAGGAGGGGAAGGACAAGGGTGAAAGAAAATGGCCCTGAACTGTGAGAAACCAAAGTGGAAGAAGGATCCTGATTTCAGCTGTTTCAGCAGTTTCCTCTAGATACCAGCAGCCATCTGGGAGCTGTTGCTGCTCCCCAGAGCTCCTGAAGCATGAAGGGGAGAAGAGATAAGTTAGGAGCAATGCGCTTCCAGTGAGCTGGGAGGACCATGGCTTACTGGGCTTTAGGTTCAGCCTGGTTTGCAAGCCATTTTAGTGTATGTGTGCTCACATGCTATTTCCCACAGGATCACATTAGTGGGACTATTTTTGCCCCCTTCAGCTATTTCTGATCTTGGGGACCACCTGGCATTTTGTTCATGGGCTTTGTTCATTGAGGAAAGTCAGCTGGGGCAAGCAAGGTGGTGTTTCACCTTTCTCCCTGATTAGAAGAGCCAGTCCCATGCAATTAAGCAGCTTAGCTCAAGGCAACAGAAGCCATTATCACTGGGCTCCTCTGCTCTGCTTGAACTGTTATCCACGCTAAAAATGTCAGAAAAAGAAAACATTTCCCTCTCTGCCCGGCGCCTCCCTGGCGCTGTCTGAGTGGCAGGTGCATATCTGAGATACCTCTATGTGCATCTATCTGATCACCCTCTCTCCCTACTTCAGGCTGTCTCATTTGAGGTGGGGTGGGAGTCAGTCTCGTGAGAGAGCAGGAACACCTGGGCAGGCGTGACTCTCAGCCCTCCTTGGGGTAAGACTCTTTGGTTTGGCAACCTTCCTACCTCGCACAGAGCAAGCTCGTCCTGGCTGCTGAAGGCTCTGAGCAAAACTCTCCACCTGTCCCTTAGGAAACAGCAAAGCTTGAGAAGAAGCCCTTCTCTGAGTGTCTCGGTGCTTCTCCATCCTTCTTCTTCACTGTGCCTGCACCGGATGAGAGGGCATGCCTGGGGAAGGCATATGAAACAGCCCACTTTTGGGGTAATCCTATGACTTTTTATCTGAGCCTGATCTTGACATGTATTGCAGGGTTGGGAGGAATTTTGCAGGTAAGCATAAATATTTTAAGGATTATTTTCTTCTGGTTACAAATGTTCATGCTGCAGTCCTACCCTCCCATATCTGGGCAAAAATGTGTAACATTCAAAGAAAAACACACACACAAGCATACATGTACGTACACATATAACAAGTGCAATGAACAGAGCTGATCCCTATACCTAGCCCCAACCACAACTGATGCCTGGGGGCAGAATATATTCACTCCTGTCCAAAACCACAGTCCACCTCTTCCTTCACAGCCGGTCCCTGTTGATTCCCTACCTATTTACCCAGATGGCACTAAGCATTGCTCTTTTACTCAGACAGGTTTCCCAGTCATAACTCATTGTGGGTTTTCACATTCAGGTGCTCTTATCACCCACTCATTAGTATAGACAATTAAAGGTCCTCAGTGTCCATTGGCAACAGCCATAGACAAGCAATAAAACAATAGCAATAGAAACAGTGATAGCCATGTTATGGTCTAGTGGTTGCTTCCAGCTATTTGGCCTAAGAAGGTGTCCCAGGCTCTCTGGGTAGCCCTGAAAGAGTATAACACTTCCATAGCACTTTGAACGCTGCTTTTGCTGTGTTTGTGGCCCTGAAGAAGGTGTTGGTGTATATCATACCAGCTGGAACATGTGCTGCTTAGGGGAACAGGACAGCAGAGCTAAAGAGTCAGGGCATGGAGGACAGAATCTGAACCAATGGGGGAAAGAGTAGGGAAATCTGTGGAGGTAATGGAAGCTGAAGCATATACTTTCCAACAACACAGACTACTGTGGACATAATTGAGCTGTGTGGAGAGACCTTTCTTTTTTGCTTAGGAGACAAGTCTCATACTGTCATCCTGACTAAGAGTACATCAGAATGAACTGCTTTGGCCCCAAGGTGAGCAGCAGTGCAGAATTAGGTAAGAATATGAGCTTTTATCCATGTAAAAGACCTTCTATTAGAATTGAAGATCTTAGCCTCTTTCCTTGAAGAGATTACATGGGATTTAAGAGCAAAGCTGCAGAAATGAGCAACAGTATTGTTGTCAAATGAGGAAGGCTCTTCTGGGCAGGAAAGAGAACTTTCTGGTAGGCTAGATAACTATCTGCAGGAGCAAATGTCCATCACAAGCCTTCCTACATATGAAGGCATTTCTTCAAAGCCACTTTCTCTGGCTGTGATACCTGGTGAGCAAAATAAACCACTTGCATTACGTGTGTACTTCTGCCTGTGGGAGAGGAATGAGGAAAGAAGGAGTCCCATAGGGTAGATGTTAGTCAGACTGCCTCAGGTGCTACTAGGAGGTCTTCAGATAGATACCACCTCGACTTGTTCAGGTAAGGAAGGGAGCAGCTCCCAAGTTTGCATTTCTCTGGGCTGGAGTTCACAGCTGCTGGTGTGGAGTCTGGCATCGGGGTCAGCAAAGCATCAGAAATGGGAGAGATGTCTGGTCCTAGGAAAATGACACATGAATGGAGGCAGAGAAAGGAGGTCCTCTTCCTGTGAAGTGGTGTCAGGAGAGGGCTTCTTTTCTCGCTATAGCAGGTCGTACGTCACCCTGAGACAATGACGGACTCATTTCTGAAGATGTTTGTCCCAGTGCTCCTGCAGACACAAATATTCCCCCCAGTGCTTTTACAACACAGAGAGGAAAGTGACTTCATAGCATTCCTTTTCTGACTGTTTCTCTGGCATGTGCATTCTAAACATAGATCAAAAAATCAGAAAGCACCAGGAGAATTATGGGTTTCTACACCCTATTGTGCTTTATAATAATTATAATTATTGTAAATACGGCCCAGACACTGTAATTTTCTGCTCTCCATTGGGTCTTTCTTTTTCATTTTCTTCTTCTTTTTATGACTGTTTTCTAAGAAAGTTTTCGTATGTCACCTTATAGATGGCAAATGGCAGAGTCAGCTCTTAAAATAAAAGGAGAGGAGTGGCTTAGGGGGTTGGAGAGGTGGATGAGAAGAGAGTAAGGAAAGAGAAATTACATGTAGTCTGTGGTGAGGGCACCAGTGGGGACAATCAGGAGATCTGGTGTGTACCTAATCTGATACTGACCTGCTGTGTTGTGATAGGCTCCGTATTTGTACCATCTTTTGTATTTTTGATTGGGGGGGGGTCTTCTATCTCAGTTCTTGGCTCAGCTGATCTTACGTTTAGAGATGCTGAGCACATCTCATGTGCAATATCTGGTTGAAGTTATTCCAAGACGATAGGGTATAGATATTTGGCTAGGTGGCATTCCTGTGTCATTGTTCATGTATAGTCACGAAAACCTGGTTTACACTATGGGTAGGTACACAGGACCAGGTATAGACTCTGCTCCTGTGCCTTATGAGTGATCAGAGCAGAGGTATGACTGAGATGTATCCTCCTGCCCAGGTAACTTGGTCTTATTCCTGTGGACATTAAGGCATGAGCAGAGTGGAGAGAGACTGAGAACCAAGTATATCCAGGTTTTGTCCCAGTGGGAGATCAGGATGAGGCCAGGATATGGACTTCGATAAAGTGGGAAATGCTCCTACACCTTGGAGAACAGACACAGCTAATGCCATCTGGAACTTTGCACAGGAGTATCGAGGTAAGGAAAGATGCAGTAAACAGCATCAGGGAAAACAAAAGATACCCTGAAGTCAGGCAAGAGAGTTTACATTTAAGTCAGACTGAATTTAGAGAAATAATTAGAAAGGAAGTGGAAAAAGTTAGGGTAAGGATGAGTAAGACCTGGCGAAAGATGTGGGGGATATGGTTCAATGGGTAGTAGAAAACCAGCAAAAATATCTATGTGATGTAGAGAAGAGGAAAGCAGAAAACAGGCAAAGGAGAAGTCACCTGGAATGGGACTCACTGTTTTTGTAGACTGAGTTGAAACACCACCACTAGAAATGCAGCAGAGATTCAGATTGAACTGCAATTAATTTATCCAACTTTTGACCAAACAGGGTAGTTGAGTAGTCTGTCTCTGAGAGCTCAGGCTTCTTCCTCGTCTCAGGAATCTCCCCTGGAGACTTCCAAAGCAAACAGAAGAGCAGAAAGCTGCTCTCCACCACATGACCAGGGGAATCCTGGGTTTATATAATTTCAAAACAAATGGAGGCATCTTTCTGTGTGACATCCCACAGAGAGTGTAGGGTTTAAAGGGTGGACTCAGGGCTTGAGAGATGCAGGTATTATTCTGCCAGTGAAAAGGGAAGTAGATACTGTAGCTGGTGATGGGACTTAGGATTTTTGGCTTCTAGTTCGAGGCTTGGGAAGTGACTGTAGCCTGGAATAGAAAAGTGGGTTAGTGGAGTTTAATTCCTGCCTTTCCCACTGTCCTAAAGAAACCTACTGAATCACTCTTTTAGTACAGCAACACCAATTAATTGCCTCACAGAGGGTTTCCCTGATGCTGAAGTTGCTGTCTACAAAGTGCCCAGAAGTCTGCTGGTGAAAGATGATTTGAAGGAACAATTATTATCCTTGTAGCATATGGGGCAAGAACTTCTTGCAAGGTTTGTGTATTTGCCTCCAGCCATCCATAAATACATTGCTATTGCAGGCAATGCAATCGGCTGAGCAGAGCCCTGTGCATTAAAAGGAACAGTTGCTGTAGTATTTGGAAATAAGTCAAATCTTCTGCTATCTGCATTTCTTACAAATACCACAGATTCCTTACGTATGTGCCTCCACCATTCCAAGCTGTTGCTTTGACTTGCTAATAGGTCTCTGTTGTAAAAGAACCATGTGTGCTGCTTTTTTCTTTATGGAGCTAACACTCAGGTGTTACTTCATGCCCAGCAAGACAGCAAGAACATGGAGGCTGCTAGATTCCAGATGGGAAAGTCTGCAAAGACCCTGGAGAGAAAACTGCCAGCCAGGTATTTATGAAAAGGAGGTGATCTGGTTTGATTCAAGAATGTACTACAAGCTAGATACTTATCTAGCTTGTAAATTGACAGCTTCATTTAAGTAATTGAAGCTATGCTGATTTATAACTACTGAGGATTTGGCCAAGTTTATATAGATAACTCTAAATAAACCCCTTTCACGACAGCAAGAACTTGTACCAAAAGATAAATCTTGATGAGCTATAGATCCTTGCCAATAGTCTTCTAAATTCTGCTCTTTCTTGTCACTGTGAAGAGCGTACAGATCTTTCGTGATCCAGGTTCAGCCAACTCACTTTCCACTCCTCTCAACTTTGCTGATGCAACTCCTCCAGCCTGTGCTGAGTCAGTGATGACAATTAAAACCAAATAGCTAACGTAAAGAGACGAGCAGCCCCACAGGCGGCTGTTTCAGGTGGGAGCAAATGTACAGAGCTAGAGTTATGTGCCAAATTCTAGCTTAACTCATGAAGAAATATATAGCAATGGAGTGGGATTGCTAAACCTTGCGCTCTCAAGTTGAGCTTTACTGACTTGGCTTTATCTTGCTCAGCAGTCACCAGGACTTGTGGAAGAGAAGACTGGCAGAAATGTTATAATTGGTACCGAGCAAGAATTAAGCAGAAATTGGACTAAAAGTGCCTGAGGATCCCTGTGGGCATGCAGAGGTCAGGATTTAGCCACTCAGATAGCAACCATTCTTTGTGGGCCCAGATCACCTTCCCCGCAGACCTGCTCGTGCTGTAGCAGCAACACTCAGTGGCTGTTTCCCCAGCAGTGGGTGGAGAATGGCCGATACGTTACCCACTGCACTTCACTGTAAGATTGCCAGAGGGCTGTGTGGCACCTGCTGCTCTTCTCTGGGCCATGGGCATTGGTTTTGTAAGACCCAACATGGACCCTGCGCTCCAGGGCTATGTATGATGCTGAGAGGACTCAGAAAGGGGAGAGCGTGAGGATCTCCAGAGTAGGCAGCTGGCAGTTTAATTTCAGCATGGGTAGGTACAAGGTAATGCAACATGAAAGATCAATTTAAACTACTTATGTAACATGACAGGCCCTAAATTAATTATTTCTTACTCAGGAAAACATCAAGGTCCTTTTAAGGCTCCTTGAGCAACAGTGATTGCAATAGCAAGCTAACGCTGAAAAGGTTGCATTATAATACCTTCCTATGAACCGAAATGATGCCTACATTTGAAAAGATGTGCACAGATTTTGTCACTTTTCTCAAAGACATATCAGAAATAGAAGATATCTAAAGATAGATGATCCAAATTATTAGAGGACCTAGGAGAATTTCACGAAGAAAAGATTAGGATCATTAATTTAGTGAGAGGGATGTGACAGAGGTATGAAAAGAACAATGGCAGGGAGAAGGCATACAAGACCCTGCTATTTAACCTCTTTAAAATACCAGAATGAGAAAGAAAAAGCTCAGGACTTAAAATACTGCACCTGCAATACTAATAAACGAACATGCTGTGTTACTCAGTATGTAACCTGTGGAATTCACTGTTTGAAAATATGACTGGGGCCAAGAGCTTGGGAAGACATTACTTTCACATTTTCCATACAGGAGCAATAAAAATATCATCCACCCCTACGCCAGCTGGGATAAAAACCTACATGGGATATAAATCTTCATCTCGCACGACAGTAATTGCTGCGAGCTAGACAAGGAAGCCTATTGCATAACTGTCCACTATGAGGGTTTTACTACCTCCCATGAAGCATGTGCTGTTGGCTCCTAGCGGAGATGGGCTGCTGGGAGGGACACTGCCGTTTTCCCTTGCCATCCCTCCCATCTCCATGCATCCCTTTCATGTGGAGCAGGTCCTTTAGCTGTGCCAGGGACCTCTGCAGTGGTGAGTGGGACAGACCACCCTCCTCGATGCTCTCAGAAGAGAGGGTGTATTTGGTGGTGGTGTTCTGGTGAGTTCGCTGAAATGAGACATGCCTCTGGCCTTGGGACGTGTGAAAGCTGGTAGTCATTCATCTGGCTCCCTGCAGGAGCAAAATCCAGGGGTAGGAGTCAGCAGCAGGGAAGACGCCCATCTGGTGCAGACATCGGCGTTCCCCTCGAGACAAAGATTTTTGGGTGAATCACTGCCGCTGGGAGCCGCTGCGATCAGAAAGCATGAAGCAGTTCCCTTAGGCAGCTATCGCCCAGCTGGGGAATTGGTTTGGAGAAGAGGGCTGAAAGTCTGGATTTGACCCCAGATTTGATACAGAGCTGGTGCAGAGATTCAGAGTCTGGTGTTTGAAGTTGGTGCCCAACCCAGAGTTAGGGGGACTAAATTCAGGGGTGGTTGCCTCTGGAAAGGCTGCATCAAAATGTGAACCCGACGGGAAAGAAGTGCTGTCTCCTTGCCAAAAGATGCTTTATTGCTATTCATCTGCAGCATGGTTAGGTGCCAGCCAAGACTGGGACTCTGCTGCTTGAGGCAATGTTCATTCAGAGCAGCAGATATGAATCTCACAGATGTGGCTATTTCAGTGTCTAGAAGCGATGAGGAGCTGGGGAAACACCAAGGCCATGGGTTGTCCTAACATGCCAAAAAATTGGGCCAGTGATGTAAGTTCTTCTTAGCCTGTTAATTTTCAGGGTGAGGCCCTCAACTTTTCCCTGGGAAGAGGAATTCTGAAAGATATTTGCAAGTCAAATCAGTATTTTTTTGGACTTTCCTTACAAAATGGATTCTCAGAGAGTTTCCAGTTTGGGATCTTGGGTTTTGCATTTTGTATTTCATTCACATTTCAGAATTTCAAAACGTCAGCTAAAAATTCTAATTCATGCCCTTTTCATGTTTTACAATGATTGCTGCCTGTTTTAGGATAAAGTTTTAGTGTAGAATATATGGCAAGAGGTTTGAAGCCTTCCATTCTGCTATTTTTAAACCCAATTAAGGGCAGCTGTTATACAGTACTAATTAAAAAATTCTTATCTTTCTCTACAGATCAAAGCGACCTTTGTTTGTTTTGCAATGAAACAGTCTGACAAAAAGTCAAACACAGAAAGTGTCAAACTGCTTCATTACAAAACAAACAGGAGACACTTTGATCTGTGAAAAAAGATAAGGTGTTTAAATTAGTAATAAATAACAGCTGCCCATCATGATTTAAGGAAGGAAATAAAACTCCAATATTTCAAGTCTTTCATATGGGGATGTGCAAGCTGAGAAGCTCTCATGCAGTTAAAAGCTTTACCATGAAAACTGGGATAAAATTTTGAATTTTATGTATTTATGAAGGCGTATTTCTCAACCCAGAGCAAAGACGATGCCCATACTGATATATTTTGCCAGAGGAAATTTCCACTGACATCAATATCTGGTTATTAAAAACAATGCTTTTAATCACAACATACTTTAGGATGAAAAGCTGTGTTTAAAAGCATTCCAGCCTGCTCTGCCTGCAGACACTGGTTTCAGCTGTGGCCCTTCTAGGTGTGGTACGGAGACAAATATCAACCTGATCTATTTGAAGATGCTCCTGTTCATTGCAGGGGGGTTAGACTAGATGACCTTTGAAGGTCCCTTCCAACCCAAACTATTCTGTGATTCTATAATGCAGAAGCAGCTTCACCAACATGTTGCTGGCAGGTCTGCAGCTGGTGCGATGCAGCTGCAGCGCTCCAAGCGCATATCGCCTGGTAAAGTCATTCTGGATCTATGGCTGTGCCCTTGATGCCTCTTTTCACTGCACCATGAAGCCACATGTGTTCGTGGAGGTGCTGGGGGGAAGGCAAGTGAGCTCAGGTCTTGCAGGTAGCCTTGGCTGTTGAGAGGTAGCAACTGATTCCAGCCTCCTCCGCAAGAAATGAGGCGCCTTCCCAGTGTGGTCTTGCTGAGCTTTTCCACATTCCTGGGCCAGGGCAAGCATTTTGAAGCTGGCTCTGTCAAATATTGCCAAGAGCGATGCAAGCCTGCTCTTAGAGAAACAACACTTATCTATTACTAAGTATTTCCACTGATTCTCTCTGGATCTGTGTGTTGTGCAAACCTGGTGAAAGAAAACTCCTGTCCCAGGGAGCTATGCTCGTGGAGGGAGGATAAACCACAGGAGGACCCCGTTCCTGCTAACAAAGCCAGGGTGATGGATGACCAGGCAGTGGGTATTCGTCTTGCTCTTCCCTTCTACATTGCTGTTAACAGCCAGTGAATTTCCTACAGGAACCCTGTGGAAAGGGTCCTCAAAACAGTGTCCTGTGATCTCAGGGGCAAGCAAACATCAGTCTCAGTCCAACTCCTGGACCTCAACTCTGCCCCTTGTTCCCGGATCATTGAGAGCTGCTGGGCTATGCTGCTTGCTTTTCACGGCCTCCTGTTTACCTCACCTTTGGTCCTGCTCTGTGTTTACTGTTAAGCTGTTCATTCAAGTGCCATATAGTTTGTCAGGATTTGCTGAGGGAGCAAAGGTCTTCAAGCAGAAGACAAGAGCAGAGGAAAAACAGCCTCTGGCTGCCACACTTGTCCACAGCTTGCTTCAGAGAGGTTGCTCAAGATGGGCTGGCAGCTAATATGTACAAAAAAAGATAGCAGTAGCAGTATGTCGGCAAAATTTGGAGGCCTCTGAGAATGCCCTTTGTGGTTGCTTTCGGTTGACTTCTCGGTGCCTTTATGATGATGATGATGCAGTCATTGCTGATTTTACTTCCAGTATTTTATCAGGAATGTTTTTTATGGTTGCACTAAGTCCTGAAATATAGATGGGGTGACTGTTTCTGCTGCCTCACCCCATCCCTTCACATTTACAGTCTCCCATATTTGTGTTGTAGCTGTGGCAGATAAAAGAATATAAATAAATAAATAGTCATGGGGAGAAAGTATGCCTTTTACTTGCAGAATCATAGAATCATTTAGGTCAGAAGAGACCCTTGAGATCATCGAGTTCAACCGTTAACATAACACTACCAAGTCCACCACTAAACCGTGTCCCTGAGTGCTACATGTCTTCTAAATACCTGCAGGGATGGTTGGACCAAATCACGCAGTTAGGAAAAAGGCAAACTTTCAGGCACCTAAAGGGAGGTTCCCCCTCTCTCACTCAAATCCTACAGTAATAGAAGACATCAAGGTTTAGCATTTTAGCTCTTCAAAGAAGAAAACCCAGGCAGGATGGGCCTTTTTGACAGGATCCTTGATATCTATGTGAAGTAGTCACAGGCCTCCAGCGCTGTAAGAAACCTCTGTCATTGTTGTGACCGAAATACCATGAAATTATTTGGGATGCAAGAAATTCAAGGCTGTGAGTGAAAGGCAATAACTTGTTGTTTAAGAGGTAAACAGAAGTGAGAGCCACTGGAGGGGAATGCTAACATACGCAGGAACTAGGACGACCAATCTGCATATTAAAGGACAGCAAAAATATTGTGTGCAGGTGGAAAACAGGTGATTGTTTACACAGTTTCAAAGGAACTCTTGAAATAATATTTATGAAGGGTCAGGAAAGGAAAATACAGCTGTTTATCCAGGAAACCATACTGAATAAAACTGGAAATGGCAACAGTGCCAGGGGTCAAGACCAGGTGTGGGTGTTCCGTTTCAACCACTTCCCTCATGCGGGTGCTGGCATTAGGGAAAGGTGGCTGCGCAGGTGGCTGGGGCCTCAGGTTGTGACTTCTTTGGTGAGAGCAGGTCTGAAGAAGGAAGCTTCTGTGTAGGTTAAGAGTGATCCCCATTCAGAGGCAGTATGATGTAAATGTGGAGGATTAGAGCTTAGAGGCTAAGGTGAGGAGGTGGTTGGAGGAACCAAAGGAATAAACAAGCTGGAGGTAGAATTATGCATTTTGCTGTATTTTCCAGTCTGGGAGTCTGAGGTGTCACAGCTGAGGTTGCAGGACTGGTCCTAAGTGAAAACTATCCCTGTCCAAAAGGACTACCTCCATCCTATATATGCCCAAGCAGTACTTACCACAGGGACTGTCCTCTCTGCATCCCTCCTGGCTGGGTCTGTCATTTTGGCGACTCAAGGATTCCCTTATTTCCTCTAGCTCGTATTTATGTCCCAAAATCACAGCCCCTTTCCCCACTAACCTCTCCCCCCGGCTCACCAGGGAAGGTCAGTCATCTCTCCAGGCTTTAATCAGCTTCCTTGGCAGCCTTCCCTGGGGAGGGGACCCAGTATCTTTATGAAGCCCACGTGCTCCGTGGCTGTGCTGTCCTATGTAGGCTGCGAGTGGCACCTCCAGAGGCTGTCCTGGAGCCACCCCTTCAGCTGCAACCTGCAACATATTTCCACAAAGACCCTTCTTTGCTTTTCTCCTCAAGACGTTTGCAAAGATGAGATAATCCAACACACACAACACCATGCTGTGTTGGAGTCGGTGCTGCTGGGGTTGCAGGCAAGCTGTGGGATTGCTAGCACGAGGATCGTTTCAGCCAGTTTTCCTGTCTATCTGCTTAATATGGGTGGAAGCCCTTCCTTTTCCAAGCACGCACTGAGAGGTGAGGCAGGCTTGGTAAGCCAGACATCACCGATGTGTGTGAGGGGTCTGTGTTGTGCCATCTAACTCAGGTTGGCAGCACAATTACACAGACATGCAAGCCCTGCCTTCAAATCCCAAAGAAACCGTTCATCCCCATGCTCTGGAAATAGCACAGCACCAGGCATGTCCTGTGCCTTACACCTTTCCTCCAGGATGCTAAGCTGCCCGTCCCTGTAGAGCTGTGTCTCTGCTGATGTCCTCATTTTGCATGCTGCAGTCAAGGAGTAAGGAGACTCCAGTCATCTCTGCTCTGAGTGCAGCCTTGGTTCATGACTTGCAGCCTCGGAGAGGACACACATATCACATAACCACACTAGGATTATGGCCCGGTCCCACACGTCAACGTGGAGGGCTGCATCCCAAGTTGCTCTGTCTGGTGGGGTGTCTGCACATGTTGTGGTAACTGGGTCTCCAAATGGGTGAATCAGCCCACAGTGGAAGAGGAGCACAAGATTTCAGATCCATGACCTCCTCCAGGGCACACCAGGAAATTTGGGGACAGGATGTCTCACACCCTTTTCTTTCTTAACACAAGGTCACATCTAGACGAGATTATAGTCCTTTGGCCTTAGTGGAACTTCCCACCTACTGGCTCCCCAACTTAATTGAGAATTAGTTTTCAGTCACTTCCTCTCAGCAGCCATTCTGAGAAGCTCTGGTCCATGAAAACAAAGCGCTTGCCTTGGCCTCATGCTAGAGCTGAACATGCCAAGCAGATAGCCAGTCAGCCGTTTCTTCCCATCACTCCAGTGGGGGATTGCTGATGCTTTGATCATGTCCTATGAGTGAGGACAGCTGGGCTGTAAATCAAGGTCCCTGCTGCTCTGAACTCTTTCCTCCAACCGGCACCATAGATAGATGGGACGTGTTTTTCCTCTCCTTGCAGAGGTGAGCCAGGGTGAAACCTAGGCCTGGCAACTGGGCCATTCGACCTCTCTGTGCCATTAACTTGCTGCTTTTGCAGGAATTTTCCACCTTAAAACCCCATCTTTCTTCTCCTCTTCCAGACAAATAGTATAGGCAAGAGGTCAGCTTCTTTCCTGTGTAAAGTACCATCAAATTACACTTAGATGATAAGCTGAAAAAGTGACAAATTTCTTTTTATAGTTTCTTTATTGCTCCCTGTCTGAGTATATAGAATGAGGAGATCTGTGATTTACATGGTAACTTTAAGGCTTCTCTGTGAAGGAGTCTGGGGATTGCAAAACAGACTGAGATAATTTTAAGGCAAACAGGTAATAAAAAAATAAACAATGAATGAGTA